GAACAAAGTGAAAAGTACTCCCCCCATTTATTTATTTATTTTTTTTTTTTTTTTTTTTTTTTTTACCTTTTGAAGAGGGAAAACAACAAAAAAAAAAAATGGTAAATGGAGGCGGGGGCACAAATTGCACAGAAAAAAAAAAAGGGCGGGATGGGAGGGAATCAAATACGCAAAGAGAGAAAAAGAGAAATACAACAAAAACAACAAAAACAACAAAAAAAAAAAAAAAAAGAGAGAAAAAATCGCAAAATTACGTCTGCTCGTTGGAAATGACGCGAAACACACACGACAAACAGAGGGGGAGAGAAAGGGAGTGAAAAACAAACCAAAACAAACTAAAAAAAAGGGGAAAACCCCGTCTTTTTCCCCCCTCCCCTCCCCTCCCCCGCCATGAAATGAAGTCACAATACACACATGTGTGTGTGTGTGTGTGCTTCTGTCGGTCTGCGTGTGTGTGATGAATCGGCACGCATGCATTGAGGCATGTCAATTCCAAGGAAGTTTCATTTGGTTGCCAGAAGAACAACATGTCCATTGCATTCCCCAATGCATATAATATAAATATAAATATAAATATTTTTTATATACGCACATACGTCCCGCCAAGAACAAAAGGAATTTCCCACATCTTTCCTTTGTTGTTTTCTTTTTCAATTCACCCATATTTCCCTTTTCCGTCTTCTTTTTTTTTTTTTTTTTTTAATTCCTCTTCCAAAAAAAGAAAAAAGGAAAAAAAAACCGGATGTCTACACCTTCTTCGTCCTTTGCTTTCGTTGCGTACCGTTACGGTAGACGCGAGAGAACCAACGCCAGGCGAGTCCGATGCAAACACCCGCCGTAAACCCACCAACGTGCGCCGCGTGGCCAACGACTTCTCCCGCCGGCAACCATGCGGTATTCGCCAGCCGTGTTTGGGTGCTCAGCAGTGAGCATACGAGGGCAATGACTTCTGGCACGACCATTGTGAGTGCGGTGCCCCAACGCTTGTAGTACGACACGTTAAACCCCGCAAGGGAACAAATCCCTGCGCTGGCACCGCACATAAAAATGGAATCGGTACGTTTCTTGTCAATTTTGTACTTCATTCGCTCCAACCAACTCTTCGCGCGTCCAATGACGGCATCAAACGGGGTTCCATTTGGTTCCCCCTTCACTGACAGCAACGACATCCACCGCTTGTGACGACGTGCCAACTGGGCGTCGTTGAACATCAATTGCCCACCGATACCACCCATAATGCCACCCCCAATGAACACCGCAAATGATCCTACCATGCGACGAACGGACACCCAAACGTTGTGCTCCTCAACATTCCTCTGCACGGATGGGCCGCCAAACTCCAAGAGAGTCGCCATGAGGGATGTCAAATTCCCCGCAAGATGCGATTCATTGGCGTGCACAAACATGTGCGTCAGTAGCACAATGGGCTTGCGTTTAAATGCCTCCACGGAGAATCCGTAGTCCATCACGCGAACGAGGGCCTGCAGAGGCGTCGGACGCTTTCCATTCGGGCAGTACGCAATGAGACACACCCACACCGGCGACAAACGAATCGCCACACATGTGAGATCCACGCACACCATTTGAACTCCTCTCCCCTCCCCCTCCCAGTGAGTACGTGTGCCATTGATGCACCCACCACCACCCCCAAAAAAAAGAAAAAAAATAATAATAATAATTTTGGAAGAGACACAAAGAAGAAACATAAATAAATACATAAATTGCAAAGCAGAAGGTCACACATGAAACCCCACGCAGTACCGCCTCCCCCTGCCCACACGCCGGCGGGAACAAGAAGAAGAAAATAATAATAATAATAAAGACGGTCCAACAAAAACAACATCACATCCCAATAAATAAATAAATGTTAAAACAAAAAAAAAAAAAAAAAGCGTAATCCAGCTAAAAACACACACACAAAAAAAAAAAGGAAGGTTAATAAAAATAAAGATCAAACCAACAACTACAACTACAATCATTACAAATAATATACATTTTCCAGTTTTGCAAAGAAAAAATAAATAAATAAATAAACCACGTCATGTACATGCACTCGTGTACACACAAAGAAAGACGGGGGGAGAGAAAGACGACTCGGATCCCCCTTTTAACTGTTCTCCCAGCCGTGTTCAGAGGGGTTCCTGTCTGAATGCATGTCACCTTCCCTCATACTCCTTCGACTACCCCCACTTCCGTTATTATTCCCACTCACACCCCCAGCCAATTTCTCTCCCCCATCGTCCGTCCATTCGCCAACAGATAAATCACCAAAAACGGATCGCTCACAAACAATATATATATGCTTTCCCTTCCTTCCCATTCTCTTCGCTCCTTTTCTTTCCCGCACCATCGGCGACGTCCCCTACGAGTGTGTCAGGAGTACCCCGGGTTTCAGGTTCTTGTCAAGAGTGACGGCGGCCGTCCAGTTGTCCACAAGCTTTGCAATGTACACAACCGCCCACTCCTTGTTTTTGTTCACGCGTGCCTTCAGCGTGTTGCCCTTGAACAGCACGCAGGCCGTCTCAAAGCCCAGGGTCCCCGTCCAGCCCTGCCCACGGCCACACACCACCTCGGCGCCAACCAGCACGTGATGGGGGCACTTCGGTATCGGCGTCACGAAGCTGGTCGTGTAAGAGCGCAGCTTGTTCGTGCGGACCGCCAGTGCGTAGCCAGCATGGGCATAGCGGCAGCCGAGCGTCAGGTCGTAGTCCTTCTTTCCGTCCAGGGTGTAAAGCGCACCGCATCCCACTTGGCAGTGGGGCGCTACGGCCGTCGCGACGCCCACCTCCACAGTTTTGTTCACCAGCTTCGCGTGCGACGACATGCGAGAGGGCATCACGAACTCATGGGAGAGCTCATACTCGCCATTCTTCTTTCCACAGCCTCCACCTTGTGGCCCTGGCAGAAGTACGACGCCGTCAAGTTGGCATTGCAATTGCTGGGCTCAAGCGTCGCCCTCAGTGCGGC